CCACTCTTTTCCCAAACAGTAAATGCCGGGTCAATGTTCGTTCTGTAGCTAGCATTTTACCATGAAGACCCTAGACAGTTCTCCATTAGGACGCTCAATGTGGACGGGGAATTTGCAACCCAGAACGGGCATACGGTGAATATATAAACCCAAGGAGTGGGAAACGCTGTTTTATGAATATCTTCAGGGTTCACTAAAAAAAAAAAAAGCAATCCACTTATTTTAATCATAGTAACCACTTGGACACTGAATGAGAGCCTATTCGTAGCGAGTGGATACTGCATCCTTCACAAAAAGGTATATCCTACATCATTGGGGGGTTCTGTATCACACATCTTGATTGAATCATACCTCTTTGTGACCAACGTATCGGGGAACGTAACGTGTACTATCGAGGCTCCACGTCCCGATACCTTTACTTAATTTTTATTATACTTCTGTTTTCTATATCTCTTTTGGCAGGGATTGCGTCTGTGTTGAGTTTGGTCGTCTGGACCAGTCATTATTTTGTCTAGTATGATTTTATACCTGTATTGATATTTAGCATATGTATGGTATTGTATTTAGTAATTTTAGATCGTTGTCGACTTGCTATCGTTAGATTCAGTTTACGCCTATCAAAAGTTGCTAGAAGTATAGTAGTATTTCAGTATTTCATCTTTCTGTGATGGCATCTATTGGTTTTGTTCTATTGCCATTATAGGTGTTTCTCACTTCTAGTATGATTCGCATACTCCACAGGATAATTCTTTGTGGTATTACTTATGTTCGAGCACGGTTATTTACCAATGAATATATGGTTCTGGTTCTTCAGTTGAGGCTCTAAACTCACCCCACCTTCGACAGTTACTGTAGACTTTCCGAGATATACTAGTGATTAGATGTGTTAATGATTGCGAGTTAAGGCTAATGAACCACTTTTTATTTCAAGTTTTTTGTACTAGTGAGCAGGTATCGTCACTTCACGGTATGTCTGCTATACATCTCGGGCTCAGTTGGCCACCAATCCAACAGATATAGGTGTTTTATCGTGCTATATGATAGTTTCGTATATCTATAATTTTGACGATTACAGGAGAAGTCGTTGACAAGATGCATCTGGATACACAAACAAATGATAGATACATCAAAGTTGCCTTTAACTGAGTTTGTAATTACCATGTCGAATTTCTATACCAATGACGTTTGCACATTGCATTGTTATTATCCGATTGCTAAAGTTGGCTGATTTCAGACTCTATTGAAAATAATTTCTTTGAAAGTGTGTAGAGATGACCATTATCTCTAACATGTGATTTGTTTACAAAATCTGTACAACAAGTATAAAGACCATGTTCCAACTACCAGGATTAAGTATGAAAAACTCTCTTTTCATTTTCTTTATAACCAATTTATAAATGTCATACTGGACAAACTACACGCTAGCGATTTGAGCCAATTAAAACTAGCGGTTTGTAGTTTTCGACTTTGACCCCGCTTTGGAACAGTCCTTCGCTATGTGGTCCATTCCGCTAATAAGAACACCCGTAAATTTTTCGGTCATATCTACCACTTCTTTTTTCTGTCATCGTTTTCAGCTAAGCTTTGCCTTTTCTCAATTTTTGTTTCCATTTTTTCAAAGTCTGTTTAAGATGTTGTGCATTTGACTCATTAGTTCACTTTCAACTAAAGTCTTGTTGTTTGCGGCTACATTTCTTGTTTCGCTGCTTGCTATATTGCGTACAGTTGATCGCTTTCTATCGTCTGGTCCCAATATTGATACGCATCTTTTCTACATCTCCACGGCTTCTTCTATTGTGCTACAAATTTCTATCCATACATCTATACTTTAAGTCTAGACTGATATTTTTATAAAGTTGGTGAAGTGCAAGTGATTCTTTGAGCTTCTGTTCCAAGATCAGGATACGCCCTTCGAGCTAGTAGTCTTAGATCATCACCATAGGATGCTACCGCTTCACCTATGTTACGTTTTCTAGTTTCAAATTTCGTTAAATACCTAGTCTGTTGCCTACTACTTCCAAATCTTTCGGACAATTTTTGCTCCAGTATTGCATAAACTCTTTGCTCCTTTGGACGCAAACCTAAATAAAATGTTCTTGCTGAACCTTTCAGACAAGAAGCTAAAGTAAGTGCCTTCTCTTCATTAGACCAACTACCCAGATCTGCACAATTAGAAAAATGAGAAAAATAACTTTCCCAGTCTTCGGTACCATCATAAATTGTTGGTTTTAATTACAGGAAGATTTGGTTTGTTTCTTTTATTACTTATATTGCTTTGATTATCATTTGTGTCAAGCTCATAATTTTCGGTTAGATTATTTCCTCGGTGTTGTAACGCTCTCTTCTACTATCGCGGTTTACTTTAATTCGTCTACGATGTACCCGTCTTTCGTCAATGTCGTCTTCATCGGAATCAGAATATTGTTCAATATTCTCAGGTTTACGGATATATCTTCGCCTTCCTCGTCTATTGTTCAGTGCCATGGTATTGGTTTTCGTCATCACCAATTTCCTCATTAAAATTGACTCTTCGTCCAGATCTCCTAGTACTGTTTCTGGTTTCATTCGGTTTGTCTTCAGGATTATCTCCCTGCCCAGAGCTGCTATTTACATTATTATCATTCCGCATAGGAGTATTACAACGTTGTTGACTGTCCTTCGGTTCTTCGTCATCTTCGTCAGTGTCAGATGCTGATGGTAAAGTATAATATGCTGTTTGTTCTGCCTCATTTCCACTGTCATCATTATGTGCTGCCTCTATTGTTTCATCACAGCTATTCATTGTATTAAATTGTATTTCAGGATCAGAATCTGCCATGTTTGATCTTAAAAAAATAAAGAATAACATATATACATTAGTTGAGTTGTCCATGACAAGGTCCTTTGCCAAAGACAAAAAAATAATACCACTACATACGCCTTCTATTGTCCAGTTACTGTCTCAGCAAGTGATGTCACAATCATCTGAATATCTAAAAGTTTAAGTAAACGATATAGTTAGTATAATACGTGTCTGGAACCCGCCACTCTATCATCCCAAGATTCTACCATCTGACTAAGCTATGTCTGCCAAGTGTGAATTCGTCTCTGGATACCCTGTAAGAAAAGGATATCCCACTTCTGACACCAAGTTGTAAGGACCTACCCCCCTAGGGTAGTTACCAAATCCTTATTAATCAGGATACCGGCCACTGTATTAACTAGTAAGTGTATGGCAATACTTCTACCCCATATTACATACACTTACAAGTAGCTGTTGTTTTAAACATCAGACATAGCTTCAACACATCTTAGTCATCTGTGTAGTACATCATAAGAGGTAGGCTCAGATCATAATAGAGACATCATAGTTTCATCAAGGGATCCTTTGTAAGTATCTGGTCATCTTGTCAGGATATTTATATAACCAGGATTTATACAACCTATTACTTAGGATAGAGTGTACAAATATAGGTAAGTCCTACATTGGTAACACAGGAGGACTGGTACAAGACATCAGTAACTCGATTAACATGTAAACGTCATTTAATAATGTGACATCATATATAACAAGTGCATCTCAATAAATAAGTATATGATACTAGGATCTATTCTGTGACGTAGATCTATCGATATAAACGAATAAGTATCGGCATTAACAATTCTTCGATGGAATATATACCGGCATTGACAATACTCGACAATAGAGGACCTAGGCTTATGCAATGGGATCTTCTTCGGTTATGAACATTTAGTTACAAATAAATGTAAAGTATGACAGGATGTTGGAAATTTCTAAGACCAATACATCTTTTAGGGTCTGCCATAAACGTGATAATTCATATTAGGTTCAGCATCAAATGAATTTGTAATAGACTTCTGTAAGTAAACTGTTGTTGTTTACGATAGTACTGGATAGCTTAACGACCAGCAAATTAAGGTAAGTTATTATTTATCTAATATATAGTAGATACCTTATAAGTAAGCAAGTAAATGGTTGCAGGATATATATATAGATATATCAGACGTAATACGACTTAAGGCTCAAAGAATTTAAGCTTTGTTGCTTTGGTACTTCTCAAGTTTTTACGGTTGAGAAGAAGATGCCAAATGACGACAGTCACCCCTATTTATAAACTTTTGGGACGCTACAAAGAGTGCTCCAGCCAATGAAAATCCCGGCTCAAGACTAGGTCCAGTGATCAGTCTTTAACAATATTTAACAATATAGCAATAACAATAAAAGTTCTAACAGACATAAGTAGCACATATATGGCTTAATTGAAAAGCCACATAAACATATCTGAAATAACATTTAAAAAATACATATTAACAAAAAGCCGGTCCAAAATACTCGAGCGTAGTAATATATGCAGACGTATTCTATTACGCAGATAAAATACAGTTCTCACTTAATAAAATATGATAAAGACAGAAAATCATCCGGCTCAAATCAGGCTTACAATTATTTTTACATAAATAAGAAATCCTGAAAGTTTAAATGTAAACAAATATACATTCATAAAAAGCCAGACCGAAATACAAATAAGTAGTTCCAAAGTTCTGTGTCCGCCATTTTTAAACATGGAAAATGACAGAAGAAAGCGCCGTCTGAATCTTCCAATAATGTCTGTAGATATTCACTTTGTGATATATTATAGTAACTGTAAATGTTCCAAATTATTAGATATTCATCAGGAAATAAATTAGGGTCATCTGACCATTTTGTGGCGAGAGTTATCTATCCTAATGTGATACTCTTCTTAAAAGAGAACTGTCAACAATGCTGATATTCAAGTTTTTACGTTGTGTTTCGTGGAATAAAGTCCATTTGTTAAAAAGGTAGCACTATTTGATCATTGTTAATACATTTTAAGTAAGAACAGTTCATGATTTATAGAATTATATATGCACATGTTGATTTCTGTTGAAAGTATAACGTAAATTGTCATGTCATTTGAAATGTCCAAAATTTGTAAGGGAGGTATTCCATTACAATATATTGACAAAATAATTAATAATTTAGAAGCCTGACAAGTTATTGATATAAATCAAATAAATCTTGAAAAAAAACCTTTTCACTCTGTAGTGTTAATTTCATGGCAATATTTGAGGAATTTATTTGTTTAAGATATTAATGTAACCAGGAAGTACTTAAACTTATGAAGCTTTGCACAAAAAACAATTTAATAGATTGTGAAATTACGTTTTAATACCATTTACGGATATAACAGCTTATTAATATAACATAAATACATCAGATAAAAATGAAGGTGACAATTCTTTTATGGACATTGTTACTGGGAGAAAGTACAGGTACGATTTTTATCTTATTCCAGCTTTTAAATTAAAATTGATTATTTCCTCAGTCTCTGCATATATAGAAAAAGAAAAGTAAGGCAATTGAAAACAAAATGCTAAAATGAACGTTTACCGTATGACGCAAACAAGTTCGCGAAAATGTTTTGAAATGTTTATTTTTTTTTGTAGGAGAATTGCTGATTTCACTTAATTGGACGAAACTTTATGCAAATGATTCTGCTGATATTTTTGGAGATCATCACATGCTCATTTGTAGTCCTGCTTTTAATTCAAGTTCATTCAAATGGAGCAGGGACACAAGAGAATGTTTATCACAATGCATGAGTATGTCAACAATGTCATCAATATCATCCGACGACGACTTTAACAAGACCGATTCGACTCTCCGTGAGGGACCAACATCACCAGATGCAGACAATTGTCCGCCAATGAAATCATCAGGTGAATGTGACATTATTCAACATGCCACACTTATAGGTCTAGCTGCGGCTACAATATCTGGCTGGATTGTTTCTTTTCTAACTCTTGTATATTTCATATGTTGCAATAGGAGGAGCAGCTCGAAAACAGTGGATGCTGAAAATGGAACTCAATTAGCAAAAAAAGAAGACCAAACTCCTTATATTGATTCTTCGGGATCTTCTTTTCTTTCGGTTGGGGGAATAGAACCCGTATACGATCAGCTGAGCATTCACATATGAGATTAGTTGAGCATCGGTTGGAAGATCGAATATAAGCGAAAGTTTTCCATAGGCATGAACTACAATACAAGGATAGGGGGTTCATACATAAAAAAATGCGTTTTTTGTCATTTATTGGATGTTCTGCTTAAGTTTTGAATGGTTCCAATGATAAATCGGATTGAATATAACTATTATTATCAGTGACATGTGTTTTAAAACATCATTTTTAGAAATGTCTATGCAATATCTTTATTGTTTTTTACAGTTACATTAACGTGTTTCTTTTCAGTTTCAAAAATGACAGACAATTGTCTCAATTCTCATACCTTGAACACATTTACGCTTGCTTTATATACTGACTTTAGATTTTTGTGCGATTTTATGTATTTAGCTTTTTTTTATTACATATATGTTTATCCTTATAAATTATTATTACTGAAATGTTCCACCTAGATTGATAAGCTGTTTAAAGGGAAATAGTTTTTCCTTTCACATGTGAATAAAACAAACAATTGTAAAGACAATGTACAACTTACCAATACAAGCCTAAAATTCAAAGAGTTGCACTGCCTTCTTTCATTAAAGAACAATATACATTTGCCTTTTATCATTATATCGCATTGAGTATTGTCGCTATCATTTTCGTCACAAACAATTCTAAGGCATAAATAGTCGATTAAATGTCAATTGATATTATAAATATTATGAGTGTTGTCTAAATGTCCGTTACAAATACAGTACATTATATATAAATCATTATATTATCTATGTTCTTGTTTTATGTTACATAACAACAAGTCACTTATCATATTTTTACTATAATTCCATTTGAATTATCTATACTTTAGATATGGATCTAAATTTCTAGGCGCGAGTAAATAAGTTGCAGTTGTTATGTATTAGTTAGAATGAATTACGTGTTTTCCAAATATCTAATGTCGTGTCTGTAAAATGTCATCTTGTCTTCTTCAGCTGACAGGTTAACTTGATCTCAGATAAATTTTGTTAAATAAAACAAGAAGCGAATGGCAAACGTACAAATGGAAACATCTGATAGAAAAATAGGAAATATTTGTTGACGAAATCAAAAGAACGTTTGGCGCAATGGACAATTATCCGGTTTTTGCTATTTGTTGACCAAATCAAAAGAACGTTTGGCGCAATGGACAATTATCCAGGAATAAACATACAATTCTACTTCAAGTTTAGTAATGAAATTAATGGCAATAATATAGATGCGTTTACATTAACCTCGAGATGCTTTTACATTTACCACGAGATGCGTTTACATTTACCACGAGATGCTTTTACATTTACCACGAGATGCGTTTACATTTACCACGAGATGCGTTTACATTAACCTCGCGATGCTTTTACATTTACCACGAGATGCTTTTACATTTACCACGAGATGCGTTTACATTTACCACGAGATGTGTTTACATTTACCACGAGATGCGTTTACATTTACCACGAGATGCTTTTACATTTACCACGAGATGCGTTTACATTTACCTCGAGATGCGTTTACATTTACCACGAGATGCTTTTACATTTACCACGAGATGCTTTTACATTTACCACGAGATGCGTTTACATTTACCTCGAGATGCGTTTACATTTACCACGAGATGCGTTTACATTAACCTCGAGATGCTTTTACATTTACCACGAGATGCTTTTACATTTACCACGAGATGCTTTTACATTTACCACGAGATGCGTTTACATTTACCACGAGATGCGTTTACATTTACCACGAGATGCGTTTACATTTACCACGAGATGCGTTTACATTAACCTCGAGATGCTTTTACATTTACCACGAGATGCTTTTACATTTACCTCGAGATGCTTTTACATTTACCTCGAGATGCGTTTACATTTACCACGAGATGCGTTTACATTAACCTCGAGATGCTTTTACATTAACCTCGAGATGCTTTTACATTTACCACGAGATGCGTTTACATTTACCTCGAGATGCGTTTACATTTACCACGAGATGCGTTTACATTAACCTCGAGATGCTTTTACATTTACCACGAGATGCTTTTACATTTACCACGAGATGCGTTTACATTTACCACGAGATGCGTTTACATTTACCACGAGATGCGTTTACATTTACCACGAGATGCGTTTACATTTACCACGAGATGCGTTTACATTAACCTCGAGATGCTTTTACATTTACCACGAGATGCGTTTACATTAACCTCGAGATGCTTTTACATTTACCACGAGATGCTTTTACATTTACCACGAGATGCGTTTACATTTACCTCGAGATGCGTTTTACATTTACCACGAGATGCGTTTACATTAACCTCGAGATGCTTTTACATTTTACCACGAGATGCTTTTACATTTACCACGAGATGCGTTTACATTTACCACGAGATGCGTTTACATTTACCACGAGATGCGTTTACATTTACCACGAGATGCGTTTACATTTACCACGAGATGCGTTTACATTAACCTCGAGATGCTTTTACATTTACCACGAGATGCTTTTACATTTACCACGAGATGCTTTTACATTTACCACGAGATGCGTTTACATTTACCACGAGATGCGTTTACATTTACCACGAGATGCGTTTACATTAACCTCGAGATGCTTTTACATTTACCACGAGATGCTTTTACATTTACCACGAGATGCGTTTACATTTACCACGAGATGCGTTTACATTTACCACGAGATGCGTTTACATTTACCACGCAAAATATTTTAAACGTAGTTAGATCTCTCAATCTGTACAATGCTATAAATGATATAAGGAAAATTTCAAAATATGTACCAACTGACTTGCAAAACAGTGAGGACTAGGGTCCGACGGCGCTGATCTTATTCTGCACTAACAGCATGGGTAGTAGCAATTGCTGCAAGCAGACTAAAATTAATGTTATTTGCAGGAACGTAAAGCAAAAGCGAAGTGACGTCGGGCACAAAATAAGTTTTTCACAAATACATGTAGTCTGATGCTTAACAAAACTATTTATAAAATATAATTGAGTCAAACTTATTATATTTGATATACCACTGGCATGATTCAACAAATGACTTTCTAACGTAACCGCTTATGCTTTTACTCATTAAAATATTTTACAATTTGTAACAGTGAAAAGTGGTATTTAAAAAACCCCAACCTAATATTACTAGTCTGGTGCTTTAGATATATTTATGTTAATACTGATTAGACAAGATGCCCTTAAAATGAGTATATTGTCGAATTGTGCTCTAATATGATTTAGTGGTTCATAAGATAAGAGTGCAAATACTCGTATTTCAAATAACAAAATTTAGTGCCTACCTTTAATCTTTTATAAATGTAAACAATATTATTAGATACCATGTTTTCACTGTCAAGCTTTAGATTGAGACCACTTACGTCACCAATGCGTTTATTTGGTACATCATTTCACGTGCAAAATAAAATTGCAAACAGTTCTTGTGTAAAATTTAGAGAATGAAAAAAAACTCTTTAATTACTGGTCTATCTGAGATAGACTCAACTTCCATACTCTAAGAATTCAATACATATAAAACAATTATATCATAAAATCTAATGAATGGTTTAGCTGTCTAAATATATCTAAAAAAACAACCTGCGCTTACTTATGACAAAGCATATTCGCTTCTAGCTATGTGTCATCAACACGACTAAATCATCCACGATTAATTGATATATTGATTTTTTATTTCAAAGAATTCTCTGTAACATTTGCCTGATGAATTAAATATATATAAGCATATGTACAACACAATATCACGGCGTTGAGACGCCGTGAAATGATTGTACAGTGAAGTCCGGCTCATTGTCCTTTTCTTTCTTTGCCGCATTATAATTTTGTCTGTACCATTCAATTATATTCTAAAAGAAATCATAAAAAATATTTTCTAGACTTTATTTACTATATAAAGCTAGTATTCATCAAATTTAACCTTGCAACATGCAATTTTCACGTACTTGGAATTTAACATAGTCACGTATAATTCAGAATCAATCTCTTCGAAAGAATCGTCACCTGTTTGTGTCTCGAATAAATTAATGTAAAAATATAAAGTAAAATATAAGGACGTTAATACATACCTATTACAGATTTTCCTTTAATGACCAGTGCGGAAGCTTCAATATGTTGAGACGACACTAGAATGAATAACAAGTACTGACAAAATAAAAATATAGCAATGTAAAACATGTTATTTTAGTCTAAATAAAGCAAAAAATGAAATACGTAATGCATTTTCAAACGCTCAACATTTGATTCTACGGAATATAGATAAACGTGTCACATACAAGGTTGAAATAGTAATTATCCTATCCATCTCGACCCCTATCCACTCTCCCAAATACATCAATCCCCAAGATACTTAGTACTCTCTGTAGAGTAATATTCAACTATTAAGAACATTTTATTTTATTTGACTTCTGCATTATGCATTTGACCATAGATTCCATTCTATATGATAACTAAACCGACAGACCAAATGTATCCAAGTCCATGTTTAATTAATTTATATAAGCAATAGTTAATTAAACTTAAGAATCTTCTATTCCCCGCTCTAATGTATTTTTCAATTTAAGAAAGGTCACACAAAGTGAATTTTTCCTAACAAGGTAATCATTTTCAAAATATAAAAAACGAGACAACTTTTGTGTTTGTTTTACTCTGCTTTGGCAGGTTTCAGAACCAGATTACATATTAGGGATGGAATGGGAAATATTTGTTATTTTCAGTTACAAATAAAGTAGCAAACACTTCCCTGAAAGGAGTACATATCACTTTGTTTAATTTAACGAATCAAAGTTTAAAACAAAAAATCACCTTCGGGACCCCAAAGCTGTACACGAACGACTGATGGAACTACAGTGGCAAGTTGTATTACTAAACATCGAAGTGTCAGTATATCAACACTTTCAATTCTGCCATCACCTTTAAACATCTGAAGTATTAAAGTGATTAAAAAATTGTATGTTACTTTATAGCTAAAGAACTGTATTTTACTGGTAAAGAATTCATTTTTGTTGTATTTCGCTGGCACAGAAATGTATTTTGCTGGTAAAAGCATTATATTTTGCTGGTTAAGAATTGTAATTTGCCGGTAAAGAATTGTATTTTGCTGGTTAAGAATTGTATACTAGTATTACTGGAAAATTGCTAAAGAAAGCACACTTCCATATTTACTATATGCGAGCTTTATTGATATGTAAATGTTTACAAAACCACATTTTGTACAATTGATAATAATAACTTAACAATTGAGATACATTGATAGGAGTTTTGTAAAGTCCATTAGAATCATGGAAGAAAAAAATACATTTGAGCAGTCAAAATATTAAAGCTTTAGAATTACCACGGTTTAATTGAGAATGTTATAGCCTGCTTTTTGTATTTTCTGATCGCAAGATCAGTAAATACATAGCTAACATCCACGGTCTAACACAAAATTTCCTAACAGACCTAACAACGCAAAGTAGTTCTTACTCAAAACTGCTTAAAAACCAGCAATTTAAAAGACAGAATAATTTTTAATGTAGGCATTTAACAAATTACAGTGCATTGAAAGTTCAGATTATTCAATAGAAATATGAGGTTACAATCACAAATTTCGCGGATGAATAACATTCAATCAATGAAAATGCTATTTTTAGCTATGTCGATTACTGAATACTCCAGGGCGTAGTATACAAATAAATCTGACTGCCGAGTAGTGGAATATATACATGTCGAGAAGATTTTCGCTAAATTATTTTTATCAGTGTTACGAAATTGATAAGGATTACAAACACGAAATGGAAATTCTCAATTTAGAATTACAATGTATTTGTTTTTATTCAGGCTACATATTACGTATTACTTCACCGTGGTGCAGGGGTATCGCGCTCGTATCGCGCTCGTTTAGGGTGTGAGAGGCCTTAGGTTCAAATCCTAGTTGAGGCAACTTTTTTTTTTGAAGTGTCTTTTATAAGGAAGTAGCCACGATAGTGTGGCTGTCATAAAAAATGATTTTTGATGCAATTCTAGTCATGCAAAATTCCATATGTATCAATCTCAAACTGTTATAGAAAAAAATCTTAACGCAGTCGCTGCGTAAGATGAATTATAGTATATAGAATAAACTTATATAGGAAAATACATACAGATAGTCAGTATGTCAGAAAATACCACAGAGCTTGCAGCCCTTTGATTATTTTTATTGAGCTAAATCAAGTACGGCAGTGGTCAATTCATGCTACCGTAACACCGGAATAATTCAATATTGAATTAATCATTGAATATATCATCTGGTATAATACGAACAAGTAGAAACAACCGAAAATTAGTTCATTTGGCGTGGTTTTAGAAACAATATGTCACTAAATTAAATACAAGTAAATTGTTGAAAAGAAGAACATGTGTATAGATTGTTGTTGTAGTCAACACCTATTACAAACCTTTGTCGTTACAGCATCAAATGATAAATCTTTCATATTTCCACCTTGGTCCGAGCAGTTACTTGTTGAATACTGAACTGAATATTGATCTAGTGGGAAAGCTGTCACCGAAATATTGGATATAAAAGCGGGCGAAACCTGACTGGCAACAGATATTTCAGAAACATCGATCTGCATTAAAAACAACAACAAATAAAAATATGCAGCAAATGATATTTTACAATAAAGCCGAAATTTGTTAAGCAATTCTAGATGTGTATTTTAAAGGAATTGTATTTTTTAACAGGAATAAAATGTGTATTGCATTTGTTGATTATCTTATTTTGTTTCTGGTGCAGATGTTGGTATTGTTGTTATTGATTATGATGATGATGATAATTAATGATTAATGCCATCTGTTCGACCTCCCGCACTGCTTCTTTCATTAAGTCGCAGTTTTAATTTGAAGACAGCTTTTCAGCGTCCTATTAAATCCTCGAATATTTACAATGATAGTTACATGGTGTGCATAAAATATGCATGCGAGAAGAAAAAATGAATTATTGTTTAATTCAAGTCATAATTAGTATCAGTGAGTATGTTGGAAGTTTTCCCAAGCATTAGTGAATGTACTCGCCGTTCTGTATTGGCGTGAAGCGTCTTCAAGTTTATGATAGTCCTTGGTAAGACTGTAAAGCTACCTACTATCATGTTAGTTAGACAGCAATTAAAATCAAATGGTAAGGACATATCGGAAATATCGAAAGATCGGTATGGACAGTTTAACTTTATATAATCATCAATTCAATTTCACGAATTCACAATTACACCTTCATGAATTTAAAGTCATGACTTTACTTTTTCAATTTTATAATATTCACAATTTTAACTTCACGAATTCACAATTTGAACGAAGGACCAGAACATGAGAATATGAAAGAAAATAATTCTGAACCAACTGCTTTTTTGGCAGCTAAATATATTTGATACTAAACGATACAAGGAATATAATATTCAATAAACATTTTATGGTAAAATATCAATACGAAAAAAAGTGTTTGAAGTAAAACCAGAAAAAAATACGTGAATTGTATTTATTGTTTATATGTTACATGGTCTAAAAGAATTGTTGATATTGATTATAAGATCCTTGAAAGTATAAGAGTTGTTTGATACGTTATAATTCTTTGTAGTATTTTTGAATGGTGCAAGATTTAAAATGTCCCTATTGGGTTACATTAATTGATTGATATACATTGTACTTTGTTCTAGTCAAGTCTGAGATTTATTGATTGAGTAATCATTTTATTCAAGACAACATTTTATCATTGAAATATTGCATGATATCAATATTCCATTAAATCACGGTATGTCGGTACAATAGTGATTAAAACTTTGTACAATAAGTTTTGATTTTTAGTTAGGTTATGCACTTGTTTGAATACTTAGAAGACATGTTTACATGACAAACATTGGGAGATGAAAAGAGTATTATTGATTATGAAATGAATTATTCTCGTAACGCAAGGTTGCTACATACCTCCATTGTGGTTAAACCAGTAGTGTATGATTTGTAAAATAGAGAGGTTGTATTGATGTATCCTGGCAAATACCAGCCTGTATCAAGAAAAAAGAACTTAAAAGAATTTCGTCTAAGAAAATGTTAATCTATAATTTTATTATTATTATTGTTGTTGTTTTTGTTGTTGTCCTGTTTCTAAGTAGTCAATATGTTCATTGGATGGAAATATATCTTATGGAAAAAATACAAAACAATCTCAGAAACAATAATGAGAACACTGCTATTCATCTTAGACGTGCCTACGACGTGATCACCTTGGAGAAGTATCCGTTTTAAATAACTGAAACTGAACACAGAAGCTTTAACACTTTTTGCACAAAATGAAAGATAAATACCTTAGTAGTAGGATATCTTTTACATTTATCCTCTTTCACAATTTTAAATGTTTACCTTGTGCGTTCATATGACATTGTCAACAAATGTTAACAATTCAAATAAAATTATTATTTTCAAAATGAAGAAAGTATTACAAGAATATCTACTTCATCATAAAAATTGATATAAATCTACCTTGTACATGGTAAGCACTACCATAATTGTCAGTAAAACCACCACAGTTCTGTTGTGTTGATGTGCATAAAAGGTTACATTTACTGTTGTCATTATTTGGCGGATTAGCCGGATCCACGTCAGAGCAAAAACAGTTTAACTTCACCTTTTTTAATATAAAGTAAGGTAATATTTGCTACCAAATTTGCGTAAAAATTATCACTGTAAATTATAAGTTACACAAGTTGCTGACGGAATAAACTGGAGAATATAGCCTAAATGAGATATTATGACCCGAGGCGCTAGCAGAAGGTATAATTTATGTCAGGAGGGCTATATTTCCCCGTTTATTCCGTCAACAACTTGTATTAAGAATTTATAATAATGGAAATTCTTATTGACAAGTTCTATAAAAAAACAGCTTTCAAAGAACCGCGTTCAAAAGGGCACATTATCAACGACTAAGCTAACGCAGCACAATAAAAAGTAATTAAAGTATGAAGTGATCATTGCTGTGTAACTTTTTACTATTTTTTGAGGTAATGACATTTTATCCAAGAAATATACTATAAAGAACAGAACGCAATAAAATGTTATGTGTTATTAAATTGTGTGCGTGATTCGCTCCATCGCAACATTTACGTCATAGTATACAAAGTGTTTAAGCCAATCAAAATACGAGAAATGTATTTGCATTATTATAATGATCTAGATAAAATTTTGTTGTTGTTTTTTTTTCCATTATTGTATATGTATATAATTGTACCAATTTTATGAAGGAGATTTAACTTTTGTGTTTAAGAACTGTAGTAAGTTTTTTACATTTTAGTTTCTTATATTTATTCTAAAAATGTTTGTATGATTGTTTTAACTCTAAATTTAATTGTTTTATATATGTTTCCATGTAGAATGAGACTTTAATAAGGTTAACTTATCTCATACTTTCTTATCAAAATATCAATGAAACATATCATAATAGATATTCATAAAAATTATTCGTGTATAAGAATACACCTATCTACTCACAGTTATAATTGCAATACTTGCATTGCCAACACACGCAGCAATACAGTCAGTTGGGGTTATGGTGTCATTAGAAAACATCAGATGTACATTGATAAGTGTGTCTTTGTTCCAACATCCGAGATTTCCTGATAAATATATTGCATAAGTATTATCAAAACATTAGTTGAAGAAAAATGATTCTCTTACAAATTTGGTTAAAAGGCGATTTAGTTTATTAAGGCCCATCATTTAATGTCATAGAAAATAGCATATACCAGTAACTATGAATAACTAAGTTTATAAAATTGTGTGTACGGAGCTTAGGTTACAATGTATTCAGTATACTGAACAGACAAAAAATAACAAAAAACAAACGTTTAACATATATTAAGTCTATAAAAATGACCTAACTGCACTAAAACATAAATAATGAATACAATTTCTCGTTACCATCAATAAAGACTGGTAGACCGAAAGGAACGTCTGGTGAACGTGGAACAAACATCTGAGGTAGTGGGCCGAATGACAAGCCAGCATTGGACACAGCGAACCACGATGTATCTGTACTACCCGATGGACCAATACGGAACCTATAGTTCTGATCGCTGCAAAATAATATAGACGTTAATAATTTTTAATTTGAAAGTTGTTATCTAGAATTGCTTATTTATTGTAATTATATAAATGGAAAATTTCGTTTTTAAAGCGATAGGTCTCCAAAACAGTAAAGTCAGTTTCTAAAAAAAGTCGAATATTACGTAAAAACATAATAATCATATAAGAAATGTGCAACTATTCGCAATACAGATGAAACTGAATAGTTTAAGGAAAATCTGACAGAATTTATTATTTCTATCACATAAATTCTACAATTCACTAACGGGATAAGAGACATTTCTGAAAATTTTGACAAGTTATAGGCAAACTCTGTGACGTGCCTTTTATTTATAAGAATAATGTTTATGTTTAAATTAACATTAAGATACACCTGAGATAATGCTGTTTTTCTTTGATAATCAAATTATTTCTCAAATCATCTGCATAACTAATCAATTTCAGGCATTCATTTTTTAACCAAAAATAGATTTGATTTTTTTATGAAATAATATTTTGAAAAAAATGTATTGCCACCCTCTATGTTTTATATTGATCAAATAAAAAGGTTTCGCAGGTAATTGTTATCATATCTAACTTGAGTTGAACTTTAATCTGCAACAATTCAAAGTGGCATTATGCTTAACCAGGTGTAAATGGTGAGTGCACATTTCTTAAAATGTATTAATGATTCATAAAAATTCACCTCATATTGACAGCGAAAAAAATAGTATAATATCACTTAAATGAATAGGAAATAAAGGTATCTTTTACGGATCTAGAACTTCATATAATTAAAACCAATCGAGTATGTTATAATTAATAGTGCCTGAATGTTGTTTCCTGTGAGCCGGATAACAAAGATGTTGAATTTATTATATTTTCGCCAACAAGCCAAGAGGAAAACTGCCATGACTTTCCCGTTACATCAAACTCAGTTTCCCAGAGAATGTCTCCAAACTTGTTTGTTCCTTGAACATACATCTAGAATACATAGAGAATGAAGTAAATTGATAAAATAATTGTTTTGTGTGTGTGTGTTTGAGCGTGCGTTGGTGGGTGCGTGCGTGCGTGTGTGTTCGTGTGTGTGCGCGTGCGTGTGCGCGCGAGTGTGTGTGTGTGTTATTTTATTTCGCACGTCATTCGGAGTTTTAGCATGCCAAACCTTCAAACTTTTAAATATTCCTTAAAAATCATTTCTTCTTTGTATGCAATCAATTAATTTGATGGAAAATGTTACGTTACTTTGTCGCCAACCCTATGCCATAATGAGAGTGATGATTTGTGTGTATTTTCTTACATATAGCAAAATCATATTTATAACGAATTGATAAAAGTCTGCATTTTCAAGATGAACAAGTTTTGAATTTGGACACTCGTCGCCCAAAGTCAATATAAAATATACAATCATATATAAAGATTTATAGAATTTTACTTTTGGTTAAAGTTTTTTTAAGTAGGGGTTATTTCTAGGTTAATGAAGCGAGCATTTGAAATTCCGTTTATCTATAATTACAGAAAATGAACATGAATACGCATAAAACATAAACAATAGATAACGAACTCCCTATAATGACGTTTGTAGCATTTCGAGGCATGTTTTCTGTTGAAAGCTTCCTGATAAAGTCATGTTGCCAAAGAATGACATGCAATAACTAATTAAATACCATGACGATGGCAATAATTACCTAGTGCACTCTTCGGAAATGCTGATATGATATGACAATTATCAATCATACATTTCAAATCAGAATATATCTTCTACAAAAAAGAACAATAAAAAGAACGATAATGTTGCGCTTTGAAGCTTATTTCCGTTGGTTGGAAATTTCGTGATAAAGTCATATTGTAATAACATGACATGTAAAAGCATATTATGTAGTTTCACGATATCAATAATTACATATTTCTAGGACAAGTTTATTTTTTAAACAAGATATGACAACTTAAAGAAGAAAGAACAACCTATATTCTTTAAACAACAACCGTACATCATAAACTAGAAATGAGATTATAATATCAAAACTTAATGGCACATTTCATCAAAAACGTTTTAGCAATTATGAGCTCCATCATGCAAGACATACCAATAATATTCACGAGTTTAGTAAAACATTCAACTACTTTATTAGATATAATAATTCTTAGTGCAAACTTTTCTTTTCAAATTGAAAACCTTGAAATAAATTCGGTAAATACGAGTGTGTGTTGGCTTTTTATTTAATATAAAGAAACAATTGACTTACACTTCTGAAGGACTGATTGGCCCAGTAATCAATAAGAGCACTTCTAAAATTACCATCAAGTATTGCGAATGCAAGATCAACTTCGTGTTTATTTCCCGTCGGATCGTTTACTGCACCCACAGTAGTCCAAAGGTTTTCCATATCTAGCTCACTCTTTGACAGTAAAACCATCAGTGTTGAAAACACTGGGGACATTAATTTTGAAATATAAAAAAGCTTATATCATTGAAAACAAATGTGCAAATAATTTACATGTATGATAAAAATGAAATACATTTGCATTCATGAGCCAGTTATTTGCCTCTAAGAGCAAATGATAACAATATTTCTCACTCAAAAATTCTAGGCAGTAAAACATGTCTCACTTGGTTTTATATCAAAGTATTTTTGCTGCATTTTTGCAACAAGTGTCACTAACATAAATAATCATTACAATTAAAAGGGCTGAAATACGAATGTACTGTTAAATTATTACTTTATTGTTTTTCGAAATTCTTTTAAAATATATACGCCTGTGATTTTTCTGATTAGAACAGTAATTAGTTTCAACAATATGTGTTTAAAAATGCAATCACTAAATGCCAGATGAACAATTGGTATTAAAATGGTAAAAGTAATTAGCAATACAATAAAGACATACATTGAAAGTGTGAAACAAACACCAATTACAATATTCATCCAGAAACATGTGGACAGATCGTACATAGAACTTTTTTCTGAGTAAAGTACAATCGTTATATATTATTGTGTAAAATGAAATTAAAAACAAAATTTTGAATCATTACTGTTTACTATTCAAGTTCTTGTGTCAATTAAACGGATGTTCGATATTGAAATACAATTTATTTTTGTCCATAAATGATATCAAAACGTCTAAATAATTCAACAAAATCCAGTAATCCATAATATTTGAAAGTCATCAAGAGATAGGCAAATCACACAATATAACTTTTTTATTGTTATCATAAGAATTCTTACTGATAACAAACACTATTGAATGAGTGGCATGTGTCATTTTACACCTTTGCACTAGTTAACAAGTTTACCATATTTGGAATATACTCACGTGTTTCATTAATCGTTTTCCATTGAAATCAATTACAAAATATATTATTTATAAATAAGAAGATACCGCACATTTTATGATATCTATATGAAAACTACATACCTACACTAACCGACATTTTGCTTCCTCAATTTAAGTTTAATTTCTAAATGTATCTTATCGTTAAAATATGTTATAATTTGAATTTCAGTTCCTAAAGTGAAATATGTAAACGCTGATAAATAGTTTTTAAATAAACAGATAAAGAATGTTTCTTTGAAAACAATCTATAAAATCTACTACAGAAACGCAATTGAAATATGGCCTTCAATTTAGTAGTTAAAATTGCTTTTCAAAAACAAAACAAGTGTAATGTCAATTTATATGTGAAGATGGTCTTACATTTTAAGTGCATGTTCATTTAAAGTAAACGGTATGGTCAACTAATTTGTGCAAAAGAATATGTCAATCAATCACATAATTTGCAAACATTTAAGTTTTATTACAAGTTATACAATAGTAACATTTATCTTCTGCAAATTGAAAAGTTTATAAGAATATCTGGTCATCATATGTCTGTTAGTTCATCTTCAATGCTGCATTTCTTGCTTGGACGCCCTTTGATGCTTTGCATCAATGCTTTTCTTGTTTTCCTTTGAAATACTTTATATTTATAATGTATATGATGATATTTATATGAAAACTACATACCTACACTGCCTGCCATTTTGTTTCCTCGATTTATTTTTGCAGCTTCTTAATAGTTATTTTATTGTTTGAATGTCATTTCAATAATATTCTCTTAGCCACATTAGTTCCGTGTTCCCAAATTAAAATATATTAACGGTTATAGGTAAACTATTAAAGGATATCGTTCTGAAAACCACCTATAGAATCTACTGAAGGAACGCTGTTACATATCTTAGCAGAAATACCTTCCGGAAAAAAAACAACGAGCCTCATGTCACATTATTCTAACAGGCCCTAACATTTTAAGTACATTTTCATTAAGTGCAATAAACGGTAAAATCAATAAATTCATGCGTAAGAAAATGTCGATCAATCACAAATTCAGTAAACATTCAAGTTTTATTACAAAGCCATAACAATAAAAACATATGTCTTCTACAAATTCAACGAGCTAATATCCGCCCTGAAAAGTGTCCGTCCGTAATCGTGTCTTCGTCGACCTTTTATTACCAGTGCAATACCTGCTTTACAGACGACAACGTGCTTTGCAGACGGAACATATAAATGCATGTATTTTGTGCAACAAATTAGGTTATATCAAAAGGGACGATTGATCTTTACAGCATATGGATAACCTCCGACTCTCAAAGTCAGGAATAGAGATTCGATTCTGGTTTGACATTTAAAAGCATAGAAGATGATTTTCAATTTACCAAAACCTTTTTGGACCCTTTTGAACAGAGTCGATCAAACGAGTCTGCGATTTTCATGTAATTTCGTTGTTTTCTTTACTTTCGAGGGATCAGCCCTTTTCCAGATTCTAATTTGATGTTTCATGGCCGTCCATGAACACGCTGAATATACCTGAGCTTGAAACTTTTCTAATTTTTCGTCGTTTTTAGTGTGTTTTTTAGGGATCCACTTTCTCTATTTCATTGTCACATCAAAAATCAAATCATATAAACCATATCAAGATCTATTTATTGTCGGTATGCATATAAGCATTTCACAAACATAAGCTATGTAAAATGCATGCATGTAAAAATAAATTCATAAAAGAAGCACATAATCTAACATTATAAAAATCTTTGAAAGACATTACAGGTTAAACTAATTGCAATACTACAGTGTCGGGTATATACACTAAAGCTTTATAATAAGATGATATTGACATGATGGAGATAACATTCAATTAACTGTATTATTAGTAAATATATATAAATAAAACTGACTGTTCACATTAAACTCATATAAAAATAAATCAAAAGTTGTGTGGAGTCTGTTGATCTTTTCATAAGTGGCTCAAGGGACTGGGCTCAAGGTTTCACTCCCAGAGGAGGTGTCGGCCCAGTCTCGGCAGCTTATCATTATATTGAGAGCATAAACAAAAAATTAAACTAAATGGGAAAAGGTAGGAAAGCAAACGAAAGAAAGCAAACAAAAAACAAACCTAGAGATAGAACTAAACGTTCCATGTAGTAACTAAGCTTTAAAACTGATCATCATTCACCTTCTGCCTGAGGTGTTGGGGAAGTGAATTCCAAAGTTTTGGTGCATAGGAACGAAATGAGTTCCTGTTCTTAGTCGAGGAATGGTGGCTACATTTTTGTGCCCCCACTTTAGTGGCGGGCATTTAGATTTACCCTTGTCCGTCCGTCCGTCTGTCCGCACAAACATTTTAGGTATATGAGCTAACTAACGGTACACTGGAACAAAAGAGAACAAAGGACTTCATTCCGTAAATAATAGTTAGCTCATAAGGAAACAATAGTTAGCCCACAAGGAAACAAAAGAAAAGAACAATAGAAATAGCTCATAAACCTGAAAAATTGGTACGTCCGTCCGTCCTTCCGTCCGTTCACTTTTGTGTCGCAAGTAACTCAAAAAGCATTTGACCTAGATTCATGAAACTTTACAGGAATGTCGATCAGCATGTGTAGTTGTGCACCTGTGTATTTTCGTCTGGATATTTTTAGTATTTTCAGAGTTATTGCCCTTGACTTAGTAAAATTTTGCAATTTTCAACTTGTATCGCATGTAACTCAAAACGTATTTGACCTACAGTCATTAAACTTTACATGAATGTTGATCAGCATGTGTAGTTGTGCACCTGGGTATTTTCGTCTGGATCATTTTAGTGTTTTCAGAGTTATTGCCCTTGACTTAGTAACATTTTGCAATTTTCAACTTGTGTCGCATGTAACTCAAAAAGTATTGACCTAGAGTCATGAAACTTTACAGGAATGTTGATCAGCATGTGTAGTTGTGCACCTGGGTATTTTTGTCTGGATATTTTTAATATTTTCAGAGTTATATTGCCTTGACTTTGTAAAATTTTGCAATTTTAAACTTGTGTCGCATGTAACTCAAAAAGTATTTGACCTAGAGTCATGAAACTGTACAGGAATGTTGATCAGCATGTTTTGTTGTGCACCTGGGTATTGTCGTCTGGATACTTTTAGTATTTTTAGAGTTATTGCCCTTGACTTAGAAAAATTTTGCAATTTTCAACTTGTGTCGCATGTAACTCAAAAAGTATTTGACCTAGAGTCATGAAACTTTACAGGAATGTTGATAAGCATGTATAGTTGTGCACCTGGGTATTGTCGTCTGGATACTTTTAGTATTTTTAGAGTTATTGCCCTTGACTTAGTAAAGTTTTGCAATTTTCAACTTTTGTCGCATGTAACTCAAAAAGTATTTGACCTAGAGTCATGAAACTTCACAGAAATATTGATCAGCATGTGCAGTTGAGCACCAGGTATTTTCGTCTGGATTTATTCAGTATTTTTAGAGTTATTGCCCTTGACTTAGAATTTTTTTTTGCAATTTTCAACTTGTGCCGCAAGTTTCTCAAAAAAGATTTGATATAGAGTCATTAAACCTTTTTGGCAGGTTGCTCAGCATATTTAGATTTGCACCTGGGGTTTTTGCTTGTGGATTTATCCAGTATTTGTAGAGTTATTTCCCGTGACTTAGTAAAAAGATTGACAGAACAGTGGCGCGGTGGGGGCACCCGTGTCCTATGGACACATTTCTAGTTATACCTAAAATTGAAAAAACGAGTTTTTATATTTTAAAGGGGCAACATTCGAGTATTTGTGGGTGTGACTAATCAGTGATGTAAAACTGTCTGTTATAAACCCTGAACTATAAATAGCATGCAGTGTTAACCTGCAGAGAGAATGTAAACAAAAACAGCTGATTTTACACAGGAAAGGTTTAATGGATGTTTAATATAACTCAAGATTACTTAAAGACATTATCAAGTCATCTTGTCCAGATATTATTTTTGAAGTCAGTTTTTTTTCACTGGAATGCTGTATGTGTCCTTTATCAAGTCAGACAATTATATCAAACTCCAAAAGATGTGCCTTACATGGGGCATTTCTTTTAGGAACAACCTGCTAAAAATGTTCTTGACAGAAATCTAAAATATTTTTAAACTGTTAATGTATAA